CCTGTCTGCCAGCTCAGGGGCTGGCTCCCAGAGGATAAACAGGCCTTGCTGTTGAGGCAAAGAAGGCATTAAGTACCTCAGCCTGCTCCTCATCCTTCATTCCAGTGCTTGCCTCTGCTTCCAGTAAAGGATGGAGATTTTCATTGGCCCCATTTCTGTTGTTGATGTATTTATAAAAACATTTTCCATTATCTTTCACAGCAGTGGCCAGATTAAGTTCTATTTGAGCTTTCACCTTTCTGATTTTTTCTCTACATGACCAGAGACATCCTTGTACTCCTTCCTTCTTTCTGAGTTGCCTGTCCCTTCCTCCTAATGTGTGTATATATATATATATATATATATGTGTGTGTGTGTGTGTGTGTGTGTGTGTGTGTGTGTGCGCTAACATGAGTGCAACTGAGACTTTTTAAATATGCCTTATAGACCATTATAATCTCCTTCAGACCCTAACTCCAGATATCCAGCCCCAATTATCCACAAGGGAAGCCTATTACCTTTACATTTGCTTACTCTCCTTTCTGATCCACAGACATAAAGTATCTGTTCTCAACTTAAAAATTGTAACTTATTTGTACAATAGGATTAATCCCAGGCCAACTATTTCCAGAGTATGTATTGCTTGAACTCTGTTGCTCTGTTTCAGATCTGAGAAAAAATTTGTGTCTGAACATTTGTTTGATTTTGAATATGAACTAGTCTGCAAGAAGAATGCTGCTTCATATATACTGATTTTGATGAAAGTGCTGGAGAAGTATTATTTAAGCATCACAAACTGTGTGAGGGAGGATGCCCACACATAAAAAAAGGAGGAAATTAAAATGAAAATTCTCCAAAACAGTCTCTATATTTGTGTGTCTCATTGACTGAGATAGACAGTCTAATATTTCATAATACTTAATTGCTCTTAGGGGACCTATCAATTAGAACCTAGAATTATTAACCAGGCTATCCTTCAAAGCATTGCTGAGACGCAAATCAAATCAATGCTACCTCATTTTTATGGATGAAAAAGTTGAAACCGAAAGAAATACTGGGGATATGCCAAGACCCAGACTACACACAACCCTGCTCAGAATCCTTTCCTTCTTCCAGCAGAGCATGTTGTTTTATTGCAATGGCACCTTTAAAATTACTTCAGTTGCAGTAATTGGCACTTGGGAGACCTAAAATGTAGGCAGGCACTTGGTGCCTTAGTTTAGAAACCATGTAACAGAGTCCATCTGTTCCTATCGCTATTTTTAAAGAAACTTGTCCAGACTCAGGTAGGAAATTTAGGGTGGAGGTGGATCTAATTTCTTGGAAGGCACTCACCTACCCGAATTCTGAGATAATCTTCAGGCTGCTTAGCTTCCTCAAAGCACACCAAAAGGTGGAAAAGCAGATGAGAGACTTCATGTAAAAAATAGCACAACTATATGTTTGCTTCCTTAGAGAACTGCATTCTTCCACTATGATCCACATGCTGTAAGTTGTTTGCAGCAACAACCATTCCAGAATGACTGGTTTTAAAAATCACATAATTTTTAAGTCTTAATTTAACAGCAGTAAGAATAATTTTTGTCAAGTGTATCCTAAAGATACTTGACTTCTCTATAGCACTGACTCATCAAGGAGAGGTAAAATGCATAGTGAAAAGCAAAACAATCTCATATTTCCAATTGCAAGTGTAAAAGTTCATCACAGTACTCATTTGATGACTTTTTCTGAAGGGCTATGTGGTCTGATTTTGCTTCTTTCTTGCTTCATGAAATAGATTTCCCTCTGAAGAAATTATATGGTTCACATCTTTACATTTACTGCCTGTATGGAATTTAAGAGATTTGTTAAACATAGCAAATGAGCATGCAAAACATTTCAGTTATGCTCAGGAACTACGCACAAGGGTTGGATGAGGAAATCACAGGCAGTATTTTTGCAGGCTTATTCATCTGACCCATAAATGTTGCGTTTTACCTTTTATTTTTTTTTTTTTTTGGTAGCTCTCAAGAACCATTAAAAATTTTATCTCTTATACAGTATTAGAGAGTGTCTCTCCTGCTAATTCAAAAATCAGTTTTTATTTGGACCTCTTTAAGCCTTCTGACAGCTGTCTTTAGCAGCTCTAGAAGTTAAAGTTCTAATTTGCCTCTTAGTTTCCCAACTTTGACATTAGGACTTCGGATGTAAGAACCAGAGGTGTTCTTTGAACTCAATTTTATCCACCAAAAGTGTAATTAAAGGATTTGAAACAAATCCTAAACTTGGGCTGAATTTGACAAAACTAAAATCAACAGAAAATGGAAGCATTCTGCTTTAATAATTTTAAAGCAGTAAAAACCTTTTTTCTTCCTCCCTTTGTAATTGTAAAAAATTTGTATTCATGGTTAAGAATTATTAAACCTCCCAACTGAAATATAATATTATGAACACTTTCTTTTATTTTAGTCACACAGAAAGGTTTGGATAAATATGTTTTGTTCTGTTACTCTTTGTTGGTTTAACTAGCAATAAAAAGCCCCTAAACCACAGATGAAATCACTTCACCCCTAACCCCCTCAGAAATTAGCAAATAATCTATTGCCATTTTATTAAACAAGATGATAAAAACTGATAATTGCAGAACCTCCTAGGAACACCTGTACAAGCATGTATTCTCAGGACTGGATGACAGGTCTCGCCCAAAAATTTTATTTGCTCTTAAATGAGAATGCATTAACCATGCAAAATGAAAGATTACTCATTCTGTTTAAATGAAAAGAACACCGATAGCTATTTTCTGTTTTTTGCAGTCTGTTCCTAGTGGACTATTTCAATCCTAAAAGATCATATATTCTTATCTAAGCTGTTTTTGTGGGACAAAAGTAATAATTTCTAATGATTTACTACAAATTACAGCACTTTAGTGATCATCACTCAGAAATCTGGAGCTGCCCATCAGCCATCAGCCTCTTAATCACACATCACTTGCTATCACTTCTAGAGAAATCTGGACCGCCCTATGCCTGTCCCTCACTTGTTTTTAGGACTTCTTCATCAGACAGTCAGTCTTGTTCAGAGCAGCAGACTATTTCCATTCAGTCAGTCAGTTTTAATGGAAAAATCAGTAGTATTTGTGTTTTTGTCATCTTCCTTCACCTTCCAATTTCATGTGCTCTTCAGAGCTTCCTTGTGTAAATTTACAAAGGGAATTGAAGAAATGGGAGTCTACCAAAAACAATCACAGGCTCTTATTTCTTTCCTCCTATCCCCTTTCCTTCACTATTGAACTGCCATCATTTTTTTCTAATTGTTTCCAAAAAGCTAGCAGGAAACTTAAGCTGATCAACATTTTAGTACATGACTTATTTTTATGCATGGTTATTTTTATACTGAGATACTCAGAGCAAAGATCAGATCTCCTCTGTAGGAGCACTCTTAACACAGATAGTTCAGTCCCTGTGATAATAATTACATCTCCAAATTGGACAGATACAAGCAGTGGCACATCCTTAAAGCACTGTCTCCAATGTTCTCATTTATACAGCTTTGTAAGAGCATTACTTGTTTTTACAGCAAAACATCCCAAAGTGCATCAATTACACTGGGAAATGCTCAGCTCTGTGAACTGCTTAACCACACTGTTAATAAAACCAAGGCTGCATTAAGCCAAGTTATTGCTGAAGTGAAAACAACTTACATAACTATAGTACTTTCCTTCATTGCCATTAAAAAAAATTAAAACAACACAACAACAAAACCCAAGAAAAACAAAAAAACCCTGTGCTACAGTAAGTCTACCAAAGTCTAAATTGACTAGTTTCAGACACAAATAAATAGATCTAGCATAAATGCATAAATGTGACAATTGTAAACATGAATTAATTTCCATGAAGGCAAAAAATAAATCAAAAGGCAGAGAAATCTTTTTAAGAGATATAGTTCCTCCTGGTGCATTCCAGAATGAGAATTTTAAGACAGTATACTCCTACAACATTATGGGAATCATTGGCATAATGAACTGATGAAACCTCAAAAATTTTCTGCCCTTTCATAGGAACAGCAGACCACAAGCTGCAGCAAGGCACATGCTTTGCTTCTTCCAGTGTACCAGATGCAAATTTAAAAGCAACACCCACAACTGGGTCTCTGTGCCAGTTTAAACCCTGGCTTATGTTCAAAGACAACAAATTAATGCCAACATTTTACTCATGTGGAACTAATGAACGTTCTAACACTGGAGTAAACTGAATCAAAACCATTAATGAATAAATATCATGAACAAGCCTCACAGCTTGTTGATTTCTCTCAGACTTCTCTTCCCATCCTAGGAATATGAACTACCCCATGCCCCACGCTGTCTTTCTGCATGAAGCTTCTCAGTCTTGCCTTTCCTCTCTTAGTCTCTCTTCTTGCTTTCCACCATCAATTTTTTAGAACACACAAAAATAACTGTCGTATAAGTGTTACATATATGGAGCTCTAAAAATAAATTATCATCTCAACTGGTTCTCTAGCAATTTCATAGTGGTAAAAAACCCTCTACAAAATATTTAATTTTATTTGGATTTGAGTTAGTGATTTATTTGGATTTGAGTTAGTGAAAAAAAGATGAATTGTGTCATGGCATTTTTTGAGCAAAACATTGTATTAAAGAAAAATTTAAATTATTTGAGGTGTCCTTTCTGGTTGTTTTTTTTTAGTGAAAGAAAAGACATATTTTTTCTAAAAGTTTTTTACCAAATCCAAGTGTATATGGACAACACCAGCTGAAGGTACAAGCCAGATTTGTGGGGATAAGGCATTCTCACTACATATAACTAACAGCTGTTTTAGTGATGAGGAGCCAAAGCTCACTCATAGAAGATATAAGCTTAGCAGCTTATACTCCTAAATCTAGCACATTTCCCCCACATGAATAAACAGCACAAAAGCCCAAAACCAAACCAAACCAACCAAACAAAAATGAAATAAAATAAAAAATAAAGCCCAGAGAAAATCCCAAATATATTCCCAAGCAAAGCAAAACAAAAATGACTTACTGTCTTCTTCAACATTTTGACGGCGTAAGGTTTCTGGGTCCCTTTCTGCCTGCATCTGTAGACAATGGATGTAGCCCCACTAAATTTAAAATAATAAAAAAAAAAGAATAAAAAAAAAGAATAAAAAAAAAAAAGAAGAATAGTTGGCTTGTACATATGACTCTTCAAATCTGTCAATAAACAGAGTTGCCTACATTTTCTACTCCTCCCAGTTGGGGCAAAACTATCTCACTTTTCCCCACAGATGCAATAAACCCTCCCCCCAAAACCCAAGAAGTGTCAAAACCTCCCTGTGTTAAACCAGTGAACCTCAGCAGTTGCTCAGCCAACAGAGGTTGCAAGAGTTTGACATCCTGCTTGGTCACACCTTTTCTGTCTCATGGCAATTCCTGGATGTTTCCTTGGATAACCATGTGACCACATCTTGACTTTGTTAAGGCAACACATTCACAATAATAAGTTATATTGTGGGGTTTTTTTTCAGTAATTGTTGATGAGAGCAAAGGTGAGACAGAAAATTTTTGCACTGCTCCTTGTGGACCAAAAAGTCAAATTTAGCACCGAATGGAGGAAGTAGTACCTTAGGTTAATTCAGTGGAAACTGGTGGGACTTGCTCACAGCAAAAGTGGATTGGACTTACATCTTCTGTTTGCCTTCAAGATGTAGTTACTTGAATGTGCAAAGTCTGAGCACTCCAAACATAAATTTATGGCTCTGCTGGATGGAAGGCACTTGTCTGAATGGGTAGTTGGGATAGATGGTCTCCAGTGGGATGCTCAGCTTGCTGTGCTTTAATTGTTACTGTCAAGGAAGGGCCCTGTACTCTATGAATTACTTGAAGAGAGATGAAACATCTGGCAAACTCAAGCTGGTTGCAAACCATTCAGATACTTTGTATTCTACCCAGAATGGATGCTCTGAAGTGCTATCACCAAATTTAAGGCATTTTTGGAAGCTACCTGTCCTCCCACCCACTCCAAGACTCAGCACTTCTAAATAGCTGCATATTTTTAAGGTAGAGGGGACTGCAGTTGTCACACATGAGCTCCTGAATAACCATTGCAGAACTGCATACAGCAGCTCTGCAGTGAGCAAATTCTCATGCATACCAGACGCCAAATTGCACCACAGATCCCTCTGAACCAGAAGAAACCCATCTCAGTAAGTCTACAGGATACAACCAGAAGCTGCACAGCAACAGGAGAAGCTTTCTTTTAAACAGTAAGATGGCATAGCCATGCTTGACTAGAGGAATAAAGCTGTGGTGCAAGATTCATTCTATTATTCTACATATATTCTATAGAATACTCTATATTCTAGTTTCTGTACAAAACTGCCATGGGTGTCCTGCACTTCTGCCTCCCCAGCATGGGCCACAGAGGTGCCAGACAAGGCTCTGAGTAGGCACATCCCTATTTTCATAAGTACATGAATGAGCACAAGAATTGGTGTTTGATTGAGAAGACTGATTTCAGAAACACTGCTTCATAAAGAAACTCATGGCAAAGGTTATGCAGTTCAGTCATCTGAAGGCTTCTCTGTACCACATATAAATTAATCTTCACTTCATCTCAAATGCTAAAATGATTTGTCTCTCTTAAAAACATATTTGTAAACATGTGGGAGTACTGAGAGCTTCAGTGACTCCCAGAATCATTACATGAATTTAATTAGATCTCCTCTCCTTGGCCAAGTCTCCAAAGATTCTATTTAGCAAGAAGAAAAATAAACCACACTAAAAAAAAACTTCATATCTTTTAAATACAACAAAAACTGTTAAAAGATAGGATCCTAAGAACGTGCTGTGATAAAGTTTTTATCTCCAGTACTTCACTGCAGGATTGTAATGAATGGAATAATGGAAGTCACTGTATAAACTGCAAATCATTCCTGTACCCTGCCTCACATAAGCAGAGTGCAATATAAACCTTAAACTCGTTAGATTACATACCTTCTTACAAAGTAGGCAGCAAACTTTCTAGAAATTATTGTATTTGCATGAGGGCAGAATTAGATAAGCTATCCAGCTGATGATCCAAATAAATAAACGATCATTCCTGTGCAAATCTCTTGGTGTTGTGGCAATGGACGGCAGTCTCTGTCTCTCAGTACAGCTACTGTCAGTATTTGCATTAGTTTGCACCAGTTTTCAAAATTGTGCTGTAAAGTCTGCCATGTAAATAAGAGCCTAGCCACTAGAACATCCCAGATTATTTAACTGGCTTAGTGATGAGATGGACAGCTCCACCACAGCAGGAAGAGATAGCATCACACCACCTTTAATAGTTCACAAACCTGGAAGACAGGCAGCATAATGCTTGAAAGAGGTGTAAGACAGCCCAGGGACAGAATTCAGTTCAGCAGTTTGACATCAGGCTCATTAGTCAATATTCAAAACACAAACAGAGGTGCTACTTTGCAAATTATTCTCTAATGTACAGATTTCTGCATATCCCTGAAGTCCTAATTTGGTGTAAAAATGATGACAAGATCTTGCAAGACTTGGGAACTCTTTGGAAGATTTTGCTTTTGCTTTACATGGCTATGCCTAGCTCTGATAGAGGAGCTCCCAGCAGCCAGGAGAGAAAACACCTAACATTAGCTAAGAGCCAACGCTGCTTTCCTCTTCCATGCCAGAAACCAGGAAATCAGGAACAGGATGGCAACCTGCTCACACCATGCCTGGTGCTAAACATGGCAGAGTGCTGTTTCTAGCACAGACCTGATTCCTTGTGTCTTTGCTAGAAACAGAATATCTTTGCTTCTTCACAGTTAAAAAAAAAAAAAAGGAAGGGGGTTTGGTCTGAGGGTGGTGTAAGCAGAAGTCAGCCTATGGATCTCAATGTAAGTGTTCAAACAGAACTGCCTCATACAAATCAGGGTGCTTTGCTTTGCTTCTTATTTTGGCTTCCTGCTGGAGCCTGCTGCCGAAGCTTTCTGCTGAATCAGCACATCCAGCTTTCCCGAGACTGTGTGACTTGGAAGGTCACCAACTGGAGCAATTCAAGCTTTCATCACCGAAGAGCAGTGGGAAGATTCAGCTGCAAGACTCTCATGTGAAGCTGAAACACTCAGAGAGCTGCTAATTGCAACCTCTTGCCATTACCCTAAGTTTTTGCAACATCAAACCTTGACTGCCATCATCCGGCCTCCCAGAACCTCCTCTTGAATTTGCATCGACCGAAAACTTCACTGATAGATTTGGTCAGAACACACAAATATACAGAAACCAGGAATCCTTGTGGCAACGTGCCACTTCCCTCCTTGGCCAGACAGGCAGACCACGAGCCTGTCCCATGAGAATGTCCCACTCTCCGCAAGGGGTGTTTCAATTTGTCTGAATGATAAATGTCAATAGTGCTATGGAAGGAGATCACCTCTACTCAATGCTTAAGGCACTTATTTGATAAGCAGTAGACAACAACTCTATTGAATATTTAATCCTACCCTGTTAACAGTTTAAATGGCAGAAAATTGAAGGGCCATGAGCCCAAACAGCTGATCATCACTTGCAGAAGTGCAATGCAATGCATGACTGAAAAGTGTCCAGGCCAGAAATTATGTCTCCCACATTCCACAAGACTGCATTTGCATATTTAGAATTGATTCTATCAGCTTTTGTCTCTTTGTATTTAGTGATTATATACAAACATATCTATTTTTGTATATATATATATATATATATATATATATATATATATATACATACAGACATATTTATATGAAGTATTTGTTATATATATTTGTGTATGTAAGTGTGCATTTATTTACTTCTAAAGGAAATGAATGCTTAAATGAGCACCCAGTTGCTGTTTTTTTGCACCTTTGCCTGGGAGCAGTCTACCTGAACTCAAAATATTAATTATTTGAAGCCAGCTGGAACAAGAAAAATAGAAAAAAACCCAAAAACAGAACAAAACCCCCACAAACAAACAAATAAACAAAAAAAACCCCAACAAAACAAAAAAATAAACCCAAAACACCATATTCTTGTAATATGTAGTTGGCCAAGTTAGTGAATAGTAATTAGAATTGCTGAAAATATTGCCATTCTCTTTTACTGACATATATGTTTCAATCTGCAAAGCTGCTTAATGATTCTACTAAAGATTTACTTTTAAAAGCATGGGTATAATTGTGATCATGCTAAAGAAGAAGAGCAACAACAAGAGATCATTTTACTGTTAAGATGCCAAACGCTTTACTACAAAAATATGTTTCTATATATACATATATGCGTATGTATTTATGTCTTGAACTTAGAAAAGAACCTGAAAATAATGTATGTATCTTAACTGCTTCGTCATAATGGACAACAAAAACAATAGCTTTTGGGATGCCAGCTACAATGAAGACAATGACAACAAGAAAGCTCATGATGTCCTGTGCATGGAATGTATCACTCACAACCCAGCATCAGCACAAAAACAATTTTCCTGAAGTACAAAAACTTCAGTGAACCAATAAATTCATTCACCCATTAGTCAAATAATGTATGTACTACTAAGTACATCAAAACAGACTAAAATTCATTAACTGACCTCTGCATGTGTGTTGTTTAACACACAAATTTGAAAAATGATTTTAAAATACTTAAAATGTAAAAAACCTTCTGCCTCCTCCTCACCCACCTCTCAATACACAATCAGTTGAGCATTCTGGATTACTTTTCTTAGTGTTATCCTCAGGTGTTACTGAGTTTCCAGTCACTTCTGAAGGACAGTTTTAAAGGTTGGGCAGCAGCAACACAAGGGCCTGCCCGTGCTAAGGACTCCAGACTGCAAGACTGAGAGAAAAGGCATGGCCACACTTCAAATACACACAGTCAAAAATAGTGGTGTCAGCACAGATGGAAGGAAGGCAGGGGCACCCAGGAGGGGTGTTAGGGAGGTGGAAGTGATCAGCAGAATTTGCACATAAAGGAGAAAATGGAATTTGCAGAATCCTGCAGTGGAGCCTGGCAGAGAGAGAAAATACAAAGCAAGAAAACACAGATTTTGACCCAGTTTGGTAAAAGCATTTCTTCCCTGAAACCCATAAAAAGCTTCTGCCTCTGAAACAAGAAAGGCAACC